AAAAACAATTGAAAGCTTATAATAAGAGAAGTAGAAATTTATAAATAATATAAAAGGAGATTGTCTTAATAATGTATTTGTGATATAGTTGACGATGGGTGTGAATGAGTTCCTTTTGTCGTCAAAGAGACATTAGTTTCTCCTTTAGTTTTATAATTAATTTTTCTTCGTTTTCATTGACCGTACATTGGTGTGATGAGATCTTATGCACTGAGACAACGTTTTAAAAAGACATTTTTTTTCGTCGTGTTATCTTCTGCCTCCATCGTTCTAGTCAGTCCAACATTCTCATGTCTCAAGGCATTTAACTCTTGTTTTCTCAAATCCATCAAATCTTTACTTCGTCTATACTTCTAAGATAGCAGCTATGTCAATCGAGAAGGGCTTTTTTCTTTCGCTCTAGTCATCCTACTTTTCATAGGTATTATAAACATTTTTCTTCACAAAATATAAATCAATCACACAGTGAACTTTATTTGTTCTTACAAAACCAAATATATCCTGTAAAAACTTTGACAAACCCTTGAAGTCAAAATTTTATAGTATTATTTATAGGTCTATAACAAATTTTTCTTTAACCAAACTAGTGGTAGACTATGTTAACTTATGAGTTTTAATCCACAAACAACTTTATAAAATATATTTACAATAAAATTCTAAAAGTTGTTTATACTTAATTTTATAATAATAATAATAATAATTTTCTCATCATACAAAAAGTGAATACATATACACATAGTGCATGTGTTTTCACTATTGTTTTATAAAAAGCATACAAAAACATAAGTATGTAACACGTATTTAGAGTATCTTACGAGAAAACCCAAATGAATACTTTTAAAATATAATTAAATCACTTATTATGAGAATCTATACAAAACAAAAATTATATATGTAAGAAACAATCACTCTATTCTAAGAACACCTTCAGTATTCCTAAAAGAAATGCATTATTTAGATACAAACGACATTAGACAACTAGTAAGATGATAAACGAGATAAAGAAAATACATATTCCAAGTATGTGATAAAAAAATGGTATACATTAATTTTAGAAAATAAAATGAGTGTTTAAATATTATTGTTTACGAGAAAATTATTTAATGACTGTTATAGATGGTGCATTTCTTTATATCTTTTACCAGTTTTTGAAATTTAACTCCCAAAAATCATACATTCTCATTCACTTGGGTGCCTCACTTCAACATGGGAAAATCTATAAATAAAAACAGGTCTACCTCAATAGCATAAATGGTCAGGATGGCCGAGTGGTCTAAGGCGCCAGACTCAAGTTCTGGTCCTCTAACGAGGGCGTGGGTTCAAATCCCACTTCTGACATTGTTTTTTTATTTTTACTTTTCAAAATACTTACTTTTTTTTTAAAAAAAAAAGACAAGACATGAGATATTTTATTTGTGTTTCTTTCATTAAACCCTACTGTTCTGTTCTGGCAAAGCAAAAGCGGTTAACCCAACATGGACGAGGAGGAACGTGGCGTAGGAATTTCTGTCCCGAGGGTTGTCGCCGCCAACCAAACCCCAGAGCAACTCGTCTCCAGGGCCATAGCCCCCGTCAAGAAGGAATTCCTCCGGCCCCCTCCGGTTCGGTCTTCCGCTCCAGACAACGACGTTTCCATTCCCAACGAAAACAAGACCTCTGTTCTGGCCAAGGAGAAGAAGTCTAAGCGCCAACTCAAACGCGAACGTCGTCAGGTACGCCAACTTCTCATTTGCCTGCCTCCGCAAATGAAATCTCTTTCCGCATTTCAAATTGCTGTGAACTTCGGTTGCTTTTCAATGTTGCAGGTTCAAAAGTCGGCAAAAAACCTATGTCCACAAATTGCGAAGACGGGGGATGTTAGTTCGTGTCTGTATAAAGACAAATGTCGTTTCAGCCATGATTTGGAAGGCTTCAAGGCGCAGGTAGGTGCTTCTCTATTGTTTGATTCCGGCTTTGGTTTGTTTAGGAGCTGATTCCGTTATGTAATTCCTAGTTATTATCAAATGCAGAAACCGTCTGATCTAGATGGACAATGCCCGTTCGTTAAATCTGGAGTTTCTTGCCCTTATGGCTTAACGTGTAGATTTTCGAGTACGCATGAAGGTGGTGTGCCTTCTGGCGTTCGAAATGGTCCGAAGAATAGTTCCGAGGTGAATGGATTGAGCAAGGAGGTTCAAAAGCTTTTGTGGAAAAATAAGATGACCTTCTCGAAGGCAGATGCCAAACTCAAAAGTCTCGGTCTCCTGGTATTTTATTTAATCTCTCCTTTTCGTTGTGTTTCATCCGTGTTTTGTTCTCCATCACTTTGGAAAAGGCCATCAAAGATCGCCGTTTTACTTGTCATTTTCGTTACATTGTTGGTTTTCAAGCAAGTTACTCAATTAAGATGCATTTTTGTGGCACTTCAAGTTTTCTATCTTGAATTTTCAGAGGTTAAACTGGGTGGATTCAAATGTTCAATTTCCATGTAAATTTTGATTATCATGCTGCTATTTTTTATTCCCTAAGTGTAAACAGTAATGACCTTAAATTCTAGGTTTAAAATGCCGTTGTTAGTTTTCCCCTTTGGTCATAGTCCATCCCTAAATGTGGCTTTGATTTGATGTACATCTAACTTCCTATTCATTTTCAGATATTTCTGTTTCATGTTAATCAAACTATCTCTCTTTTGAAAAATGTTGTAGGGATCGTCTAAGTCAATAAGGAATGACTTGGAAAATAAAGAGGGAGTTGACACTGGTTCAAATAAGTGTGATCATTCTGATGACAGTGGCTCTTGTGTTGTTACGTCTGACTCAGGTTCTAAGTTGGACTGCCCTGCTGAAGTTATGAAAGATGGTGAGAATGACATAGATGGAAAATCTGAATCTGATGAACTTTGTCCCCTGAAGCGAAGAAAAACTGAAGAAAATTGTGGTCCTGAAGAGGCACAAAATGAAGAGAATTGTGGTCCTAAGGAGTCAAAAAATGAAGGTCCTAGTTCATCTGTAGTTGTTGCACTTGATGATTGATATAACTTGTGAAATATTTCTTTTGCATTATGTCCAGTTTGTGTAACTTGACTTCATATCTATGAAATAGGTGTTACTGAGAAAATTGTTGAAAGGAGATGCACGAAATCTGAAGCTGATGCTATAGTCCCGGAAACTGATATAAGCCTGAAGCCTCACTCGCGTGAGAAGAAGCTTATTGATTTCAGGGGGAAGTTGTATCTTGCACCCTTAACTACTGTTGGCAATCTCCCTTTCCGGAGAGTTTGCAAAGAATTAGGTGCTGATGTGACTTGTGGTGAAATGGCAATGTGCACAAATCTTTTGCAGGTAACTATGTGGATTTTTTTCTGGTTGGTTTAAATCATTTTGCTTTCTTTCATCTTCAGTATAATGTATACCTTCTGTCTGGAGTTTGTTCCCTGGCGTATTTGCTACAGTGAAAATTTTACTAAGTGCTTGATCTAACTTGGGTAATGTGATATGGGTTTCAGGCACCTCCCAAAAAGTTTTGTTTTACTGTCTTTTCTTCAAAAATTTAATTTATCAAATTGATTATATCCTCTATAGACATATAACATTGAAGGGATGCTTTTCAATGTAAACTCCTTAATTTTGGAAGCAATAATTCAATTATATGTTTGCCTAAAATTCTGTTTTGATGATCTAATGTCAATAACATAGAACTTGATACATTTTCTTTGATCCTTCATGTTCTATTCTGCATAACTCGTATTCTCTTTCCCAAATCATCTACTTTTTTTTTTCTTCCGGCCAAGCTGTGTTTACGTTCTATTTGTTGTGATTTTACTTTTGTTACAGGGTCAAGCATCAGAATGGGCATTGCTAAGACGACATTCATCTGAAGATTTTTTTGGTGTACAAATCTGTGGGGCATATCCAGATACTGTGGCACGAACAGTTGAACTAATAGAGCAAGAATGTACTGTAGATTTTATTGACATAAATATGGGTTGCCCTATTGACATAGTTGTGAATAAGGGTGCTGGGTCAGCTCTTTTAACAAAACCAACGCGGATGAAAAGTATCGTAGAAGTAGCTTCGGGTACAGTGGATAAACCAATAACTATCAAGGTATTTGACATGCCATACTACACTGTTAAACACTATGATTTGTCATTCTCTTTAGCATCTTAGTAGCTTCCTCTGTTTTGTGGCTTTGAAACTTTCTGAGCTTGGTCCTATCACCTTTGCTTGAGAAAGAAAGTGTCTTATCATACTTCTTGAAACTCCTTAACGAGCTTTCTAAAAGTGTGCACAAACCCCTTATCTATTGAACTAGGTAAGGACTGCTTATTTTGAAGGGAAGAATCGCATTGATTCTCTGATAGCAGACATTGGCTCTTGGGGAGCCAGCGCGGTGACAATACATGGTAGGTCACGTCAACAACGCTATAGCAAGCTTGCTGACTGGGACTATGTATACCAGTGTGCCAGGAAAGCCCCTACTACATTGCCAGTAGTGGGAAATGGAGATGTGTTTTCATTTGTAGACTGGAACAACCACAGAACTGAATGCCCTGAACTTGCTACGGACATGATTGCTCGTGGTGCACTTGTTAAAGTAAGTATACTTTGGTTCAACGACCATTCTCTCATTTATTTTAGTTTGTCATTGAGTATTACATCTCATGCCAGTTGTCTTCGTTGGAAGCATTATGGGTGTCTGAACTGGGCATTCTTTTTAGTTGTGTTAACTAATGGCTGTGTTGTGCAGCCTTGGATATTTACAGAGATCAAGGAACAAAGACATTGGGACATCAGTTCTGGGGAGCGACTAAATATTCTCAAGGATTTTGTGAATTTTGGTCTGGAACATTGGGGTTCTGACACAAAAGGTATACTTTCTGCTGTGATATAATTGCGATAGTTAGTACTGCAACATAAAGAAAACAAAAACATCTGTTGAGGGTTTTAAATTACTAGTACAAAGCATGAATAATCTCTACAGCATAGATTCTTCTCCTTTAGTCTTGCAAAGGATGCAGCGATTGTTTTGGGGAAGCCTCCTTTTGGACTAGGAACATGTCGCTTTGGAGTGTCTCATTTGACTGTCAAATTTGCTTGCATGAATGGGTATATAGTGCATAGTCAAACTTTAAGAGCAAGTATTATTGTTTATGCTTTTGTTCCCCAGCTTTTAAGTGTGCCTATCTTCTTTCACCCTCTTTTCCAATTGTGAAGTTTCAATTTTATATTGTGCTGCAGGGGTTGAGACAACAAGGCGGTTCTTGTTGGAATGGCTTAGCTACACTTGCAGGTATGTACCCGTTGGTCTTTTGGATGTAGTTCCACAACGGTTAAACTGGCGTCCACCTTCTTACTATGGGCGTGATGAGCTTGAGACACTAATGGCCTCAGACTCTGCTGCTGATTGGGTATGCAGTTCCCTTTCATTTCAAATTATTAATTCCAAGTCTCTCTGTTAATTTCTTTAGGGAAATTGAGTTCATGGAGAGGTATTTTCTATCATGTGCTGCTTCAAACAGTAGAACAAGTGTTTTTTTTCTTATTAAACATAAGATGTAGGCGGCAGGGAAATGTTTCTTGTGAAAGATGAAGATTGAGACTAGGAACACTTGCTAATTATTTATTTACAGTCTTACAATTTATCTAATGATTTCTAATTATATAATCTTTCAAGTTATCTTCAATTGTGAAAGTAGGGGTAATAATTAATTAATGTTTTGGCTTGTCTAAAGGGTTTATAGTTGAGGATGAGAATGTTGCGTTGGATGAGTGTGACATACTAGATAAGATTATGAATGATTGCATTGGAGATAAGATGGGGAAGCGTATCACCTACTGACAAAAAGTGGTAGAATCTCTCCTTAGGTGATTTTGGCATGTATAGAAACCTTCAAGCCAGGTCAATATTTTATATACATTAACTAATTAACTTATAGGCTCGGCCGTTGCTCTGTATCACCTCTGAAAGTTATAAAGAAAAAAGGGGTTTGACCAGACATGGAAAAAAATACCAATAAGCCAGCAAATATGAAAACATTGTACTGTGGCAATAAATTTAATGCAGTACTTTGTTCTTTGAGCATATTTCTTATCAAAGCATCTTATGTTAGCATAATATCTCAGTCCCTCGTGCTCTTCCAATTTTTTCTTCTGCTTAATTTGCATGTTACTTTTCGTATATTTTTTCCCCATACATATTCTTTTCATATTTTCCCCTCTTATTTTACATTTTCACGCACAGATACGAATATCAGAGATGCTACTCGGCAAGGTTCCTGATGGCTTTACATTTGCACCAAAGCATAAATCAAACTCGTACGATAGAGCTGAAAATGGTTAATTCTGGTGATTCTTATTTTGATGAGAACCATTTTCTTCTCTACTGCTGACTCATGAGGAGACATCTGGTGTGTATTTGACTATTTGATGTCTTTCCCATTTCTTACTGCCCCGTGTTAGCTGCAAAAAGCTGAAGAGACATTAGGCAGCATTCTTATCTATTTGTTTCATTGGGGGAATTGTTCATCATTGACTTTGACTTTGATTTTGATTTCGATTTCTCAACCCATATTCTATAGTTTCAGTCCTCTCTACTAAGAAGAGACTGAACATTTAATAAAATTTGACGTTTGTAGTGTAAGCATTAATTGTTTAGACTTGGGTCAGTTTTGANAATCTGGAGTTTCTTGCCCTTATGGCTTAACGTGTAGATTTTCGAGTACGCATGAAGGTGGTGTGCCTTCTGGCGTTCGAAATGGTCCGAAGAATAGTTCCGAGGTGAATGGATTGAGCAAGGAGGTTCAAAAGCTTTTGTGGAAAAATAAGATGACCTTCTCGAAGGCAGATGCCAAACTCAAAAGTCTCGGTCTCCTGGTATTTTATTTAATCTCTCCTTTTCGTTGTGTTTCATCCGTGTTTTGTTCTCCATCACTTTGGAAAAGGCCATCAAAGATCGCCGTTTTACTTGTCATTTTAGTTACATTGTTGGTTTTCAAGCAAGTTACTCAATTAAGATGCATTTTTGTGGCACTTAAAGTTTTCTATCTTGAATTTTCAGAGGTTAAACTGGGTGGATTCAAATGTTCAATTTCCATGTAAATTTTGATTATCATGCTGCTATTTTTTATTCCCTAAGTGTAAACAGTAATGACCTTAAATTCTAGGTTTAAAATGCCATTGTTAGTTTTCCCCTTTGGTCATAGTCCATCCCTAAATGTGGCTTTGATTTGATGTACATCTAACTTCCTATTCATTTTCAGATATTTCTGTTTCATGTTAATCAAACTATCTCTCTTTTGAAAAATGTTGTAGGGATCGTCTAAGTCAATAAGGAATGACTTGGAAAATAAAGAGGGAGTTGACACTGGTTCAAATAAGTGTGATCATTCTGATGACAGTGGCTCTTGTGTTGTTACGTCTGACTCAGGTTCTAAGTTGGACTGCCCTGCTGAAGTTATGAAAGATGGTGAGAATGACATAGATGGAAAATCTGAATCTGATGAACTTTGTCCCCTGAAGCGAAGAAAAACTGAAGAAAATTGTGGTCCTGAAGAGGCACAAAATGAAGAGAATTGTGGTCCTAAGGAGTCAAAAAATGAAGGTCCTAGTTCATCTGTAGTTGTTGCACTTGATGATTGATATAACTTGTGAAATATTTCTTTTGCATTATGTCCAGTTTGTGTAACTTGACTTCATATCTATGAAATAGGTGTTACTGAGAAAATTGTTGAAAGGAGATGCACGAAATCTGAAGCTGATGCTATAGTCCCGGAAACTGATATAAGCCTGAAGCCTCACTCGCGTGAGAAGAAGCTTATTGATTTCAGGGGGAAGTTGTATCTTGCACCCTTAACTACTGTTGGCAATCTCCCTTTCCGGAGAGTTTGCAAAGAATTAGGTGCTGATGTGACTTGTGGTGAAATGGCAATGTGCACAAATCTTTTGCAGGTAACTATGTGGATTTTTTTCTGGTTGGTTTAAATCATTTTGCTTTCTTTCATCTTCAGTATAATGTATACCTTCTGTCTGGAGTTTGTTCCCTGGCGTATTTGCTACAGTGAAAATTTTACTAAGTGCTTGATCTAACTTGGGTAATGTGATATGGGTTTCAGGCACCTCCCAAAAAGTTTTGTTTTACTGTCTTTTCTTCAAAAATTTAATTTATCAAATTGATTATATCCTCTATAGACATATAACATTGAAGGGATGCTTTTCAATGTAAACTCCTTAATTTTGGAAGCAATAATTCAATTATATGTTTGCCTAAAATTCTGTTTTGATGATCTAATGTCAATAACATAGAACTTGATACATTTTCTATGATCCTTCATGATCTATTCTGCATAACTCGTATTCTCTTTCCCAAATCATCTACTTTTTTTTTTCTTCCGGCCAAGCTGTATTTACGTTCTATTTGTTGTGATTTTACTTTTGTTACAGGGTCAAGCATCAGAATGGGCATTGCTAAGACGACATTCATCTGAAGATTTTTTTGGTGTACAAATCTGTGGGGCATATCCAGATACTGTGGCACGAACAGTTGAACTAATAGAGCAAGAATGTACTGTAGATTTTATTGACATAAATATGGGTTGCCCTATTGACATAGTTGTGAATAAGGGTGCTGGATCAGCTCTTTTAACAAAACCAACGCGGATGAAAAGTATCGTAGAAGTAGCTTCGGGTACAGTGGATAAACCAATAACTATCAAGGTATTTGACATGCCATACTACACTGTTAAACACTATGATTTGTCATTCTCTTTAGCATCTTAGTAGCTTCCTCTGTTTTGTGGCTTTGAAACTTTCTGAGCTTGGTCCTATCACCTTTGCTTGAGAAAGAAAGTGTCTTATCATACTTCTTGAAACTCCTTAACGAGCTTTCTAAAAGTGTGCACAAACCCCTTATCTATTGAACTAGGTAAGGACTGCTTATTTTGAAGGGAAGAAACGCATTGATTCTCTGATAGCAGACATTGGCTCTTGGGGAGCCAGCGCGGTGACAATACATGGTAGGTCACGTCAACAACGCTATAGCAAGCTTGCTGACTGGGACTATGTATACCAGTGTGCCAGGAAAGCCCCTACTACATTGCCAGTAGTGGGAAATGGAGATGTGTTTTCATTTGTAGACTGGAACAACCACAGAACTGAATGCCCTGAACTTGCTACGGACATGATTGCTCGTGGTGCACTTGTTAAAGTAAGTATACATTGGTTCAACGACCATTCTCTCATTTATTTTAGTTTGTCATTGAGTATTACATCTCATGCCAGTTGTCTTCGTTGGAAGCATTATGGGTGTCTGAACTGGGCATTCTTTTTAGTTGTGTTAACTAATGGCTGTGTTGTGCAGCCTTGGATATTTACAGAGATCAAGGAACAAAGACATTGGGACATCAGTTCTGGGGAGCGACTAAATATTCTCAAGGATTTTGTGAATTTTGGTCTGGAACATTGGGGTTCTGACACAAAAGGTATACTTTCTGCTGTGATATAATTGCGATAGTTAGTACTGCAACATAAAGAAAACAAAAACATCTGTTGAGGGTTTTAAATTACTAGTACAAAGCATGAATAATCTCTACAGCATAGATTCTTCTCCTTTAGTCTTGCAAAGGATGCAGCGATTGTTTTGGGGAAGCCTCCTTTTGGACTAGGAACATGTCGCTTTGGAGTGTCTCATTTGACTGTCAAATTTGCTTGCATGAATGGATATATAGTGCATAATCAAACTTTAAGAGCAAGTATTATTGTTTATGCTTTTGTTCCCCAGCTTTTAAGTGTGCCTATCTTCTTTCACCCTCTTTTCCAATTGTGAAGTTTCAATTTTATATTGTGCTGCAGGGGTTGAGACAACAAGGCGGTTCTTGTTGGAATGGCTTAGCTACACTTGCAGGTATGTACCCGTTGGTCTTTTGGATGTAGTTCCACAACGGTTAAACTGGCGTCCACCTTCTTACTATGGGCGTGATGAGCTTGAGACACTAATGGCCTCAGACTCTGCTGCTGATTGGGTATGCAGTTCCCTTTCATTTCAAATTATTAATTCCAAGTCTCTCTCTGTTAATTTCTTTAGGGAAATTGAGTTCATGGAGAGGTATTTTCTATCATGTGCTGCTTCAAACAGTAGAACAAGTTTTTTTTTTCTTATTAAACATAAGATGTAGGCGGCAGGGAAATGTTTCTTGTGAAAGATGAAGATTGAGACTAGGAACACTTGCTAATTATTTATTTACAGTCTTACAATTTATCTAATGATTTCTAATTATATAATCTTTCAAGTTATCTTCAATTGTGAAAGTAGGGGTAATAATTAATTAATGTTTTGGCTTGTCTAAAGGGTTTATAGTTGAGGATGAGAATGTTGCGTTGGATGAGTGTGACATACTAGATAAGATTATGAATGATTGCATTGGAGATAAGATGGGGAAGCGTATCACCTACTGACAAAAAGTGGTAGAATCTCTCCTTAGGTGATTTTGGCATGTATAGAAACCTTCAAGCCAGGTCAATATTTTATATACATTAACTAATTAACTTATAGGCTCGGCCGTTGCTCTGTATCACCTCTGAAAGTTATAAAGAAAAAAGGGGTTTGACCAGACATGGAAAAAAATACCAATAAGCCAGCAAATATGAAAACATTGTACTGTGGCAANCAATAACTATCAAGGTATTTGACATGCCATACTACACTGTTAAACACTATGATTTGTCATTCTCTTTAGCATCTTAGTAGCTTCCTCTGTTTTGTGGCTTTGAAACTTTCTGAGCTTGGTCCTATCACCTTTGCTTGAGAAAGAAAGTGTCTTATCATACTTCTTGAAACTCCTTAACGAGCTTTCTAAAAGTGTGCACAAACCCCTTATCTATTGAACTAGGTAAGGACTGCTTATTTTGAAGGGAAGAATCGCATTGATTCTCTGATAGCAGACATTGGCTCTTGGGGAGCCAGCGCGGTGACAATACATGGTAGGTCACGTCAACAACGCTATAGCAAGCTTGCTGACTGGGACTATGTATACCAGTGTGCCAGGAAAGCCCCTACTACATTGCCAGTAGTGGGAAATGGAGATGTGTTTTCATTTGTAGACTGGAACAACCACAGAACTGAATGCCCTGAACTTGCTACGGACATGATTGCTCGTGGTGCACTTGTTAAAGTAAGTATACATTGGTTCAACGACCATTCTCTCATTTATTTTAGTTTGTCATTGAGTATTACATCTCATGCCAGTTGTCTTCGTTGGAAGCATTATGGGTGTCTGAACTGGGCATTCTTTTTAGTTGTGTTAACTAATGGCTGTGTTGTGCAGCCTTGGATATTTACAGAGATCAAGGAACAAAGACATTGGGACATCAGTTCTGGGGAGCGACTAAATATTCTCAAGGATTTTGTGAATTTTGGTCTGGAACATTGGGGTTCTGACACAAAAGGTATACTTTCTGCTGTGATATAATTGCGATAGTTAGTACTGCAACATAAAGAAAACAAAAACATCTGTTGAGGGTTTTAAATTACTAGTACAAAGCATGAATAATCTCTACAGCATAGATTCTTCTCCTTTAGTCTTGCAAAGGATGCAGCGATTGTTTTGGGGAAGCCTCCTTTTGGACTAGGAACATGTCGCTTTGGAGTGTCTCATTTGACTGTCAAATTTGCTTGCATGAATGGATATATAGTGCATAATCAAACTTTAAGAGCAAGTATTATTGTTTATGCTTTTGTTCCCCAGCTTTTAAGTGTGCCTATCTTCTTTCACCCTCTTTTCCAATTGTGAAGTTTCAATTTTATATTGTGCTGCAGGGGTTGAGACAACAAGGCGGTTCTTGTTGGAATGGCTTAGCTACACTTGCAGGTATGTACCCGTTGGTCTTTTGGATGTAGTTCCACAACGGTTAAACTGGCGTCCACCTTCTTACTATGGGCGTGATGAGCTTGAGACACTAATGGCCTCAGACTCTGCTGCTGATTGGGTATGCAGTTCCCTTTCATTTCAAATTATTAATTCCAAGTCTCTCTCTGTTAATTTCTTTAGGGAAATTGAGTTCATGGAGAGGTATTTTCTATCATGTGCTGCTTCAAACAGTAGAACAAGTTTTTTTTTTCTTATTAAACATAAGATGTAGGCGGCAGGGAAATGTTTCTTGTGAAAGATGAAGATTGAGACTAGGAACACTTGCTAATTATTTATTTACAGTCTTACAATTTATCTAATGATTTCTAATTATATAATCTTTCAAGTTATCTTCAATTGTGAAAGTAGGGGTAATAATTAATTAATGTTTTGGCTTGTCTAAAGGGTTTATAGTTGAGGATGAGAATGTTGCGTTGGATGAGTGTGACATACTAGATAAGATTATGAATGATTGCATTGGAGATAAGATGGGGAAGCGTATCACCTACTGACAAAAAGTGGTAGAATCTCTCCTTAGGTGATTTTGGCATGTATAGAAACCTTCAAGCCAGGTCAATATTTTATATACATTAACTAATTAACTTATAGGCTCGGCCGTTGCTCTGTATCACCTCTGAAAGTTATAAAGAAAAAAGGGGTTTGACCAGACATGGAAAAAAATACCAATAAGCCAGCAAATATGAAAACATTGTACTGTGGCAATAAATTTAATGCAGTACTTTGTTCTTTGAGCATATTTCTTATAAAAGCATCATATGTTAGCATAATATCTCAGTCCCTCGTGCTCTTCCAATTTTTTCTTCTGCTTAATTTGCATGTTACTTTTCGTATATTTTTTCCCCATACATATTCTTTTCATATTTTCCCCTCTTATTTTACATTTTCACGCACAGATACGAATATCAGAGATGCTACTCGGCAAGGTTCCTGATGGCTTTACATTTGCACCAAAGCATAAATCAAACTCATACGATAGAGCTGAAAATGGTTAATTCTGGTGATTCTTATTTTGATGAGAACCATTTTCTTCTCTACTGCTGACTCATGAGGAGACATCTGGTGTGTATTTGACTATTTGATGTCTTTCCCATTTCTTACTGCCCCGTGTTAGCTGAAAAAAGCTGAAGAGACATTAGGCAGCATTCTTATCTATTTGTTTCATTGGGGGAATTGTTCATCATTGACTTTGACTTTGATTTTGATTTCGATTTCTCAACCCATATTCTATAGTTTCAGTCCTCTCTACTAAGAAGAGACTGAACATTTAATAAAATTTGACGTTTGTAGTGTAAGCATTAATTGTTTAGACTTGGGTCAGTTTTGACTTTTGTGCTCGCAATACTCATTTATGTGGTGAGTAGGGTTGTTGGAGAGAATTACCCATGTTTAAATGTGTTTCAATTTATATGAACTTGTCTGTTCTTTCATTTCTAGGGAGGTGGCGAAAAAGTGAACCACACACGCGTCATCGACCATTCCTTTCGTGGCACCATGCTATTCGTGAAGTGTCGTGATAAGTCACAATACTTAATTTGACTACACTAATAGAACGACACGAATGAATTAAGGTTTTAATATGTTGACAAGCATTACAACATGGAAACAAAGGAAAATCAAAAGTTCTTATGCTTTTGTGCTTTTTTGTTGTTGCTTGAGGACAATTTGAAATTACAGTTGTTATTTTTTTCTTTTGGATCGGCATTATGATTTTACACTTCATTTTTTTTTTCTGTTTAGGTTAGAGATGGTTTTCTATTCTACGAATAGACATTATTTCGTTACTTTTAATGTTCCACTAAAGCAACAAAAATTTGTGTTTGGGATCAACCTCACCTTTTGTAAAATGCGAGATTTTCTATGTTCTTGGATAGAGGTTATTCTCCTTCCTACTTTGAGATACTATCTCTTTTTTTGATAAATGATCTACAAATAGCATTTTTGTAATTATAAGCTAAAAGAAAAAAATAGAAAATATGAAGGGCTGTAAAAAGTTACTAGGATGCTATTGAGATGTTTTCTCCTGTTACTCAGTCATTATTTCGTCATTTTGGTATTGCACATATAAACAACAGCTGTTTTTTTTTTAAAAAGTGGGATCATCACTTTTTAGTTTTTTGGATTGAGACTACTTTCTTGTACTCATTATTTTGATCTTGTTGTGTAGTAAGCCGTGTATGAACAAAGTTCGAAAAAATGCGACAGCCCGCCGGTGTCTATATTGAAAGAATAAGGCGATGCCATTGGTAACAAAACCATTTGATGATCACTAGAAACTACTTTTAATATTATGACCTTGTAGTTATCCAACAAAGCACATTGTCAAATATTAAAACATGGTTTAATTATAACAACAAATCAAAAGTAACAACAGGTTTAAAGATGTACAAAAACATTATTAAAAGTATCAAATAAGTTTATCCTCTTAACCAGTGTTATATACTTAGATAGATATAGAAAATTAACAGTCCCTTAAATGTTTGAAATATTTAGGTTTCATAGTTCATTCTATTTGAGTAATTTAAGGAACTACATTGACAAAAAACATCATTTCAGAATTTAATCTGGTGTGTCCCTCCAATTCTAAACAAGGAGAGAGCTCCATATATGCATATCTTAACACACTTGCAGACCAACAAAGGGTACTTATTAAGCAGTGGGTTTCGGGAATCCAGATTACTGTGTATAATTATAGCTTCTTGTAGTAGTAGTAGTGTAGTGTGTGTGGTTTGACATATTCATCTACACAACCCAACAACCAATACCCACTTAGCTTACCCTTACCCAACAAACATAAGAAAACAGAACATAACAGAACCATTACCATTTCTCAGACACTAACAATGTTATTCCCAGCCTCCTGGTTTCTAGCCCAAACCTCGTCTTCAATAGGTTTCAAACTGCCATTGAAAGCATCTTCCCAATCAAACTTATTGAGGCTGTTGGGTTTAAGTTCGTCCGGCTGAACAGGGTATTTTCCGGAGAAGCAAGCATAGCAGTAATTAGGGGCATCCTCCTCCAACAAACTCTTCAACGTGTCCAAGGGAAGAAAAGCGAGGGAATCAGAGCCAATGAACTTCCTTATTTCCTCCACATTCATCCTGTTGGAAATCAATTCTTCCTTACTGGGGGTGTCCACACCGTAGTAACATGACGCAACAATGGGTGGACACGCAATCCTCATGTGGACCTCCTTAGCACCCGCCTCCTTTATCAGCCTCACAATCTTGGAAGATGTGGTGCCCCTCACAATGGAGTCATCCACCACCACGACCCTCTTCCCTTCAAGCACGCCACGCACCGGAGACAGCTTCAGCTTCACTCCAAAATCTCTTATTTTCTGCGAGGGCTCGATGAAAGTCCTCCCCACATAGTGCGACCTTATCAACCCCTGCTGAAAGGGAACCCCAGCTTTTGCAGCGTAGCCAAGAGCAGCCACCACCCCAGAATCGGGAACCGCAATCACAACGTCGCACTCGACCGGGCTCTCAGTGGCCAGTATTTCCCCGAATTTCCTCCTGGACTCGTACACAGACCTCCCGAAGACAACAGAGTTGGGAAGTGCGAAGTATATGTGCTCGAAGATGCATTGCTTTGGCTCCTGATGAGTCACGAGGCAGAGGGATTGGATTCCCGTGTGGTCCACCACCACAACCTCACCCGGGTTCACCTCTCTCTCATACGTCGCATCGATCAAATCCAGCGCGCATGTCTCCGAGGCGAAAACCACAGCGCCGTTCTTTCTCCTTCCCATCACCAAAGGTCGGAACCCGAAGGGGTCCCTCACAGCCACCAGCTTGTCCTCCGTGAGGAACACCAGGGAGTACGCCCCCTTCAGATTCTCGCAGGCATCCACGACTCTGAGTAGGAAAGGTCTGTGCTTGGAGGTGGCAATCAGGTGGAGCACGACCTCGGTGTCGGAGGTCGTGTTGAAGATGGACCCGTTGTCTTCCAGTTTGGCGCGCAGGGAGCGGTAGTTCACGAAGTTTCCATTGTGCGCGACGGCGACGGAGCCGAAACGGTAGCCGGCGACGAAGGGTTGGACGTTCACGAGCTTGGAGTGGCCAGCGGTGGAGTAGCGGACGTGGCCAATGGCGCAGGAGCCGGGCAGCTCAGAGAGCTTAGCCTCGTTGAAGACGTCAGAAACGAGGCCAACACCGTTTACTGAGTGGAAGAGGTTGTCGTGGACGGCGACGATGCCGGCGCCTTCCTGGCCACGGTGCTGGAGGGCGTGGAGGGCGAGGGAGCAGAGACGGGAGGCTTCTGGGTCGCCGTAGATGCCCACAACGCCGCACTCTTCACGAGGCTTTTCGTCATCATTGACAGAGGCGAAAGTGTTTGTGGTTTTGGTGCATGGAAGAGGCAGAGTGTAGCGGGGATTGTGGGTGGAATGAGAGAGAAGGGTTTGAAAGGAGTTTGTGTTGTTGAGAAAAACGGTGTTACTGTTGACGCCGAAGCTTTGTGTGTTGAACAAAGGGAAAGAAGAAGGTTTGGAGTGTGAAGAGGAGCAGAGGGTGGAGAGATTAGACGCGGCCATGATAAGAAGAAAAACAGAAGAACACGATATGAAGAAGAAACTAGACGAAGGATATTGATATTTAAACACAAACACTTTCTTCTGCCTTTTCATAGTTGTTTACTGGGACCCATCAAACACCTCTTTTTCACCCTTTCTCCGTTTCCAATATTCCCCACCTTCTTTTTTTTATTCTGAACATTCTATTATTTTTTTATTTTTCTCCTTCGATAATATCCTTCTCTTTTTATTGGTACGTAGAGATTACTTTGTAGGAGTGAGTCTAACTTATTTATTTATTTATTTTTCTTTTCATTATTTAAGTCAATGGTGTAATTATAAATATATTCTCGAGACGCGCTATGATATATAAAATATGAAGATAATTCAGCTAGGGTGATATAGTTTATATAACGGTAAAGATTTTTTTATTTTTTATAACTTTTTTGTAGTTTGTGATTGATTGATTTTAAATATATAAACTAATAAACAATTACACATAATGTATTATCAAAATATTATTAAAAAGAATTGTTAATATATTTTAGTTCTCATATAAATATTCCTGTTATTGAGATAACAATAATGATAGAGTTTTGTCACAGACAACAATTATTGAACCAAGATAATAATTTTAAACTAGATTTATATATATTGTTTGGATATGAGGTAGAGATTAATGATATTGAATCAATTTGATTGTTTGAAATATATTTTGTGCTAATTATTAATGATATAATAAATTTAAAATTATATGTTTTTTATTTCAAACTTTTATTTATAAATTTTAGAATTTTTAATTAATATTTACTAATTCATCATCCAATTACATGTATTCGTGTTTTACTTTTAATTAATCAGTATTAAAATTAATATGATTTTACTCACAATAAATCAACTTGATTAGTGACCGATTATATCCATTGATGGTTTACTAAATAATTCGAGATATGATTGATTGTTCAATATCATTACCTTTTGAACTGTACAACTACTTGAAGAAATAAATTAGTTTTTTAAACATGGAAGATACAATATTTAATTTTTAAAAATGTAGATAAAATGGGAAACCCAAAATTGTAATTGATCGTTTTATATATTTTTATTACTTTTCCATCAGATGTCCTTTTCTCGTTCTACTTCTTCGTGTACCCACGTATGTCTAAGTAGGATAACTTCTCAATGTTCTAATTAAGCACTTCTTGTCTTTTGGATAATCCAATGTCCACACCACGTCAGAGTTCATGATCAGAGTAACACAATTCGGTGGATTTTCATTTTTTATTTCCCTGTCGTTATTTCATTAAAGCATTACATCTTTATATTAACTTAATTATTTCAATTTATATAAAGTCATACTTTTCATACTCTCTCCCTCACTTTTCATTTATGCTATTCATAACATCAAATGATCTAATTAATTAAAATTGAATGGCTTCTTTTATGAGAAAAACCAACATTATTTTTAATTTGAATATTATAATTAAAAGCAGAAAAAATGCATGATTTGATATTAATGACATTATTAAATAATTATAATACATCTCTAGCTAGCCCGAGACAGGTGGTTTTGCGTTTTAATATGATTAAACAATATTATTATTTCTGAATAAAAAATACACAAACAAAATAAAACATTTTTCATTAGTTAGAATGTTTTATCTTACTATATAATTAAAAGTAAAAACTAAAAATTAACGAAAATTATTGTGCTCTTTTTATTCTTTCACTCTAAAATTCCTAGTACTTTATTAAGTGCGAGTTTGAGTTTTATGGTAATTAAGATGCTTGATGGTTAGGATTTGAAGTTTTGTATATAATTATTGTTGCTCATTTTAATAACAATAGTCAGATCATTGCATTCTTAATTTCAATAAACTTGTAAACTTAATTTTATAAAAGTCACTTCATTTAGTTTCTGTTAAGTTAAAATATATACAAGTTAATCAATTAATAAAATATACTCGATGTTTTATTTATTTTTTTAAATGCATATAAATAAATATACTAATAAAATTTTATCTTTTTAATGTCTTTCTCACCTTATTTAATTTTATTTTCTTATAACATCATTGATCATTTGTCTTTTTCATTCCATTTATTTTACCTTTCCTTTCTACCTCTTCCTTACGCAGCAACGCAATAAGTATTTTATTATTATATAATAACACGTCAGAATCAGAGCAACGCAATTCGGTAGATTTCCAATTTTAATTTGTTCCTTGTCATTTCATTAAAAGATTACATCATTGAGTTAATTTAGTTATGGTGTAGTTTAAATCAAAGTTTAATTTTAAAATAATGTGAGCTCACAAGATATAACATATATTACATGATGGGATAACAACAAACTAAACCATAAGATAGGTTATTTTATATTTAAATAAACTTAAGAACATATTATTGTTATCAAATAAATCAAGATCGTATTAATAAACTAGAAGATGTTATTATTATTAGTCATCAGCTAGATTTATTATAATAGCGAAAAATGCTTTTTATTATATAATAATAAATATATAGTTGAGGCNTTAATTTGAATATTATAATTAAAAGCAGAAAAAATGCATGATTTGATATTAATGACATTATTAAATAATTATAATACATCTCTAGCTAGCCCGAGACAGGTGGTTTTGCGTTTTAATATGATTAAACAATATTATTATTTCTGAATAAAAAATACACAAACAAAATAAAACATTTTTCATTAGTTAGAATGTTTTATCTTACTATATAATTAAAAGTAAAAACTAAAAATTAACGAAAATTATTGTGCTCTTTTTATTCTTTCACTCTAAAATTCCTAGTACTTTATTAAGTGCGAGTTTGAGTTTTATGGTAATTAAGATGCTTGATGGTTAGGATTTGAAGTTTTGTATATAATTATTGTTGCTCATTTTAATAACAATAGTCAGATCATTGCATTCTTAATTTCAATAAACTTGTAAACTTAATTTTATAAAAGTCACTTCATTTAGTTTCTGTTAAGTTAAAATATATACAAGTTAATCAATTAATAAAATATACTCGATGTTTTATTTATTTTTTTAAATGCATATAAATAAATATACTAATAAAATTTTATCTTTTTAATGTCTTTCTCACCTTATTTAATTTTATTTTCTTATAACATCATTGATCATTTGTCTTTTTCATTCCATTTATTTTACCTTTCCTTTCTACCTCTTCCTTACGCAGCAACGCAATAAGTATTTTATTATTATATAATAACACGTCAGAATCAGAGCAACGCAATTCGGTAGATTTCCAATTTTAATTTGTTCCTTGTCATTTCATTAAAAGATTACATCATTGAGTTAATTTAGTTATGGTGTAGTTTAAATCAAAGTTTAATTTTAAAATAATGTGAGCTCACAAGATATAACATATATTACATGATGGGATAACAACAAACTAAACCATAAGATAGGTTATTTTATATTTAAATAAACTTAAGAACATATTATTGTTATCAAATAAATCAAGATCGTATTAATAAACTAGAAGATGTTATTATTATTAGTCATCAGCTAGATTTATTATAATAGCGAAAAATGCTTTTTATTATATAATAATAAATATATAGTTGAGGCATCGAAATTAAAAAAAATATTAAAGATTCTTAATAAGCAGATTTATGTTTAACTTAATATGAAAGCTAAACTCACACACACTCTCTCTATATAATATTTGTATGTATGTGGAATGTAGAATGCATGGAGGAAACATATAAACATGCAATCAACTTGGTAAAAAAAAAATACAGTTCATAGAAAACTTCTTATGAAGAACTGATATAAATTCAATTTTTGTTATTATTAGGTGATGATAGTAAATATTTCTTTCGTCTCATTATTTTTTTTAAATGTATATTTTTAAATATTAGTTATAGATGTTATTAAGCGCATAAAACAAATCATGATAATGTTTTGACTAAATACAAAATTCATTGGTGTAAAATTCTAGCATTTAAGTCAAAAAAAACAAATAAGTCAACATTGAAAATATTAATAACATTGTTATAAATAATGTAATAATCTAGACGTCTGTTAATCTTATCATTCAACATTAATATATTTAATATATGATTTTGCGTGTTATAAGAGTCCGACGTTAAATAACATCGATTTTATAGGTTGACGTTAACTCTTATTATGATGTTAGTTTCACAGTAGACAATAAAGGACGAAAAATATTATCCTTTTTTACACTTGTGTTCCTGATGAGTATAATTTTTTTTAAGCACAAATTGATCTTTTTGAAAAGAAGTATGAACTAATCACTTTCAATTATTTTATTAATTAAATAATAAAGTAAAATTACTTCGTAAATTTAGATTTGTTGGTAGAAACTTAGTATTATTTGATTTCCGAATTTAGGATAGGAAGAGATGTTTTGTCTGTCTCAAAATAAAATGTGAAACGCTAACATTGGGAATCTTTGTCACTGAAACTGACCGTTGACCACGCATTCGAATCTGAATGAGATTAGATTCTTGTTTTGTTGACGAAGATGAACGTACGGATTTCTTTGTGAAAAAAAAGGAAAGTTATATTTGAATTGTCTTTTTGATAACAAATTTTCTTAAAGTAAATAATATCTTAAATGTGATATGATATTCCTGAATTCGTAAAAGGTGAATTTGTGGGAGTAAATATGCAATCCATACACGACAAGTTTGTATAAACTAACGTGGAATCAGAACCTGCCTTCAACTCTATCACCACTTGATTTTGATAATTTCCGAATCAAGCACATGTATTAACAGCAAAAGAAGAGTTGTAGAGGTGAAATGAAATAAAAAAAATTACTGTATATTCTCTATTGATTTTGAAGTAATTATTTAAGAATTTAATTAAAATATATTAATAGTATAATGATGTTATATTAAGAAGCATAATTATGAGGTGTGTTGTATAAATGATACAAGTGAATCTATTCCCTGCTAAGAATCTGTGAGGATAATAAGAATGTTGTGATAAAGATGTTTTGGTATATAGCCCTCCAATGTCCCGGGCCAAGAGAAATGGGTAAAAACATATGGACCATAAGGGATAGACTTGAACGACACCTCTTCCCATTTTCATAGTTAAGGAGACGTTTCTGTCACCATTTCTATTTATCTTTACAAATATGGAAGTCCATTTTTTTTTTATGATTTTTGCATAATTATAAAAAACTATTTCCAGACATGTTTTATTCTCACATCCTCTTGATTCTACATGATTTAATTTCGCATCAAGGAAATGAGTAAGTTATATTCCCATGACAACAAGTCAAGTTATTCTTTAATTTCTCTTATAACTTCAATTCTTTATTTTTTGTTTTAATTGATTCAGAATTTAGAAAATATTTTCGAAAACGTGAACATTTTAATTAAATATATTTTAAAACAGGCTTAGAAATAAAATTTCTAGCATATATATTTCGGGAAATATAAATTCATAATTTGAAAAAATAACCCCTAAATTACTCAAGACTTTCGGTTATTCATTGGCCGTTATATTTCACAAGTTTCGTTGATAAGAAGGTTTGAATTTTATTTGGGAATACATTTTCAAACTCTACCTTTTATGCATTTGGAAGGTTTAAGTAGAGCATTAAAGTTGACCTTCACTTTATTTTAATTAATTTAAAATAATTAGTAAATATTTGATATCAATAATGTGGTTACGAAGTTAAAACAACTATGGTGAATGCTTGTGTCATGTGTCATGTGCTTATAAACCATTAAGCCCGTAAGACCCGTTTCAACCTTAACATTCTTCATTGGGAACAAGCAAAGGACAACCTAGTCTAACAGGACCAAGAGGGAGCACTGTAATGAGATCCAATAATCCACAAAATTTAACCAAGTCCATGTAAAAAGACAGAAACCAAAATCACATGTACATGGATGAAGTTGAGTGTAATCAGTTGAAGACACCTAAATTTGGATAGCAATAGCAAACATTCTAAATTCCACTTGCAGGAATAAGTAAAGAAAGAAAGAGGAATTTACACAGCAAATCCTCTTGTATACTGACATCCTGGGTTAAGTGATATATAGGGAGAAAACCCAAAAACCAAAATTTGGTCTACATCACTTCGGTGTTGAAAATGCAAGGTCTTTGTATTCAGATGATGTTGCATTTGAGAACACTTGAACAGCATGTTTCCACCAAGGCTTTTTTGTTAAGGTGTTCCGAGCACTGCACCACAAGTAATCATCCATTTGATAACTGAATGAAGTGAGCAATCTCAAGGATATATATGTAAAGTATATGTGTGCATCTTTGACAAAAACCTAGCAGAAAGCTTTGAGGACTAAACTATTTTTGTTCGACCAGAGTGCTTAAATCATCCCTTAGAGTATGATTATTTAAAGTGAGCTGCTTGAGATTAAAACATACCTATCAAGATCGAAAGATCAGTCCACACCAAACAAGGCACAGTGACTGTACTGATGCATTGGGGGCATCTATTCCACATAAATGACACCTTCTTGGATTTCCCCATTCCCAATCATCATCATCCTCATTTGTTATGAATCCGAACGCTCTGTTTTGACCTTCCTGAACTCTTCTCATTCTTATTTTATCTAATAGCAATCAACCTGAAAATTACAGCGTTGTGGATGCATCAGATTAGCAAAAACTCACAGCACATCCAATATAAGCGTGGCCACCTACAATTTGCTGAGAAAAAAAGAATGACTTGCACATGAAAGCACGAACTATGAAAGGATGCCTCATTGGTGAAGATATTTAAATTCTTCCCGGAATTATGAGACCCACAATTCCACCACGAGAAACAAAAAATGTAGATTTAGGTCCCCCAAATAAAAAAAATCCAAAAATTGAAACATGATGTACCAGTTTATGCACACTTCAGATTGCTGTATAAACCATGCAAAGTAAAGCGAATAAAAACAATCAGACGCGGCTTCAAATGGCAAGCACAAGGTCTTGGTTTTGGATTATTCACCGACCAATAAACAACCTTAATGGAACTAAGAAAAAACGTGGACAAGGAAAACTAAAGGATCTTGCAACTGTACAGTAACAAACACAAAAGTAAGCACGCATACCCTGCTTCCTTTCTCAAAAGAATCATCCTCAATAAAGCGTATCTCAGGAGTTAAGCGCAACTTCATACGCTTCCCCAATTCACTGCGAACATATTTAGCCTTTGACTTCAAGCCGGCAATGGCTACTTCTCTCCCTCTTTCATCCCCAAAAACAGAGACAAAAACCTTAACCACCTACATATGATGTTTGGCGAGTAAGGAAAGAATTTAATAGCGGTTAAGGAATTGAAGAGAGAGAGACAGAGAAAGGAAAGATACCTGGAGATCACCGGAGACTTGACATCAGTGATGGTGGTGAGGGAAGATAGGTAACGGTCGGCTCCTAAGGAAGTTTCGGGAAGAACAGCATACTGCAACACTTTGTCGGTGAGGAGCATATCAGAGAGCTCTCTCCTTATTTGCTTGGCCACCATTTGGACTCTTCTAGGATTGGCCATGCACCTTATTCTGGAACCAACCACCGCCTTCTGTCTCACAATTCGTATTGGGGTCACCGTCACCGTCACCGTCACTGAACCTGCGCTTGCGCCGGGGAAGTGATGGCGCCAAGGATAAGGATTCGGACAGGGACATGATGCAACCACTGCTGGGTGAAACATTGCTATCACTACACTGCTCTTTGAAGATTAGATGCAGAGGGAGCAACCAAAGAAGACACAACATGTTTTTTAAGCTCTCAACCCGGCCCAACACAAAGCCCAATCTAAAAGGTATTTCTGGATTAAAAATATATGGATACAATAAGTGACTGGTGAAGGGGTAAAATAGGAAATCAAAATTTTATGGGTATGCGAAAAGGGAGGTGCAGGAAAGAGCAGCCCATTTTCTTTTCCTTACTCCATGCTCCTCGGACAAAACCTTGCTAATGGTGGCCCAAATTGTAGCCAGGGCCCTGATCACGTTGGGCAAAAATGGATGGATGCAGAAAATCTTAACATCAAGGGTGTTACTCCCTCCACCACCACATTTTCTCCCTCCACCTCCCCAATTCTATTACATATTTTTTGAATTACAAAACTAACATTGTATAATTACACAAATAACCCTTTTTATTGTTTAATCCTAATTATTTACTTTAACCCTAAAATCTTATTCTTTCTACCCATTCTCACCCACCTCCCAACCTTCAGATTCTCACCTAAACTCCATCAGATTTGTTTCTCATCTTTCATTTTTCCTCACAGTGTGGGGGTGCTCAAGGTGCTGGTTCAGAGGCATGAGAGGTTCAGAGGCATAGATGTTCAGAGGCTGAATGAAGGTGCGTAACAAAACCTAAAATATAATCGTATAATCTTTAAAAGGATGTGAGCATCCGTCAACGGATGTCAACATCCGTTTAAGGGAAAACGGATGTCAACATCCGTCGACGGATATCGACATCGTTTCAGATCCAAACGGATACCCGAACATCCGTTTTTGGCCTGGTTATCTTCTTCCTTTCTCCCAACACACGCACACAGCCAAAAACGCAGAGCACAACACACATAGAGCACAACACAGATATATATGCATTGCATTTAAAAAAAAATTAAAAATATCATCACTAACCTTGTGAGGAAAAAAGGAAGATGAGAAACAAATCTGATGGAGTTAGGTGAGAATCTGAGGGGTTAGAGGTGGGTGAGAAGGGGTAGAAAGATAGATTTAGGGTTAAAGTAATAATTAGAATTAAAAATAAAAAGGTTATTTGTGTAATTATAAAAGGTTAGTTTGTAATTTAACAAATATGTAATTGAATTGGGAGGGTGAGGGAGGAGAGGAAAATTGTGTGGTGGAGGGAGTAAACCACCCAACATCAAAGTTTATTAATTGTCAATTTGCAATTCAAACGAGTAATTTTACTTTTTTATTTGGAGTTATAATATATACACAACTATATTAGTTTATACAATCGACTCACAAATATTTTGTTAATTTTTATTTAATTTACGTTTTAATTAAATATTTTATATTAAAAAAATTCAAATGATTATTTATGAAAAAAATATCGTAAAAATATTTTTTTCTTATTTTCCGGTTCATCAATTTTAAGAACAGATTTTATAATCCAAAATATACACACTAAAGCACTTAACTGAGCTTTTTTATTGAACCGGCTATTCTAAGATGATTCTTCTTATAACATATATTGGCGATGTTGAAGGATATAAATAATAATGTATTTAATTTTTTTTACTTCTATTTGTAGGGATTTTATACATGTAAAAAAAATTAGAATACATTTTACTATACCACACTTAATTCAATTTAAATGAGTATAATGGAATATAAGTATGTATAGAAATGCAATGGGCCAGTCACGTGGGCGCATTTGATATGTTCCATTACTCTTCTGTCCTCTGGGCCCCATCTCACGTGCTCCTCTCTTCCCTTCCCTCCAACACTGGGCTCCTCCGCACCCTAACTTTTTTTTTATCACCTTTACCTTATCATCTTTCACATTTTCTCCTCTAGATTTCTTTGAACTCACATAATCAGAGGTCACGTAACGAAATTAACGGTTGGTCTCGATTTCATCATTTTTGTGTGTGTGTTATGTTATTTCATAACCGATCACTTTTCATTATGATAGATGATTCGATAATGGTACGGCGAGAATCACCATCTTCAAACGCTTAATTATTGAGTATCATTATTGCTGTTCTTACTTTCTTTCTGCCACGCACGTTCAACCATTATTTGATTCCTCCAACATTATTGATGTCGTAATTCATCGTGAGTAAGTTTGAGTGGTATTCGTTAGTAATTAACTCAAGCACTTCCTATAAAAAGAAAAGAAAAGAAAAAGAATAACGAAGAAAGATTGAAAGAAGGTATACGGTGTAATAAGATGCGATAAAACAGATTGAGAGAACCACTTGCGATATGTAGCTCTCATGAATGCGTTTTGGAGAGCAACGTGGATTATATCTAACTCGATCATCGTTAGACGAAAAGGACAACATAAGAAAAACAAAAAAACATGGTTAACGTATAATTTTGTGACTATAATGTAGGTAGTAGAAAATGTAAAGTTTTGAAGGAGGAAGATTGAGATATAAAGCATGAAAGCAACAGAAGAGAGTTTTGTTTTGGTGAAGAACAGCAGAAGAGACAAAGAATGAAAGATAGAATTAAGAGTGTGATATTGAAGATATGCAAGAGACGAAGAAGTGGTGTTTCGAGGAAATAGGGGAGAACATGGGTGGGGCAGTTTGGGAGAAAATTCCAATACAGAAATTCCGAAGTGATGCAGATCAAAAATATTCTTCGGAGCAGATCCAACAAAGCTACGCATATCCCAATCTGTAAAAACTAAAGATAGAAATGGTAACAGTTTCTTTTTGAATGATTCTGTTTTATGGGGTCAAAGTTGTATGAATTGTAGTAAATAGACATTTTTTGGAAGAAGAAAGAAAGAGAAGAGAAGAGCATTAAGCATTGGCAACTGGAAGTGGTCCTTCTCTGCAAAAGGAAGGGCAGTTCCTTTCAAACTCTCTTTTCATGCAACCGCCTTTCCCTTTAATTAGTGCCAATCATCATTTCATTTTAAGACTGTACTGCCACTCTCCTCATTTCTTTCAAAAACCCTCTCTTCCTTTTCTATCTCCAAATTTTCTCCACCACTTAATGCAACTTAGTTCCTTTTACTATTACTCTCTAACTTACCAACTTCCCAACACCAATTTTCTTAATGTGTAACTGTACATCTACTTTTATCAAATTGTTTCCATTCGACCACATATTAAAATCTTTAATATTTAATTGTGTTCAATTCAAAGAAAAAATATTCTTTTTTCATATTTATAATTTATGATTAATTAGCCGTCAATTATCAAACCAGTAATTAATCATAAATTATAATAATCAACCAAACAATGTCCACGGTCATTTAACGGATTGAATGTCATTTGTTAAATTAGAGTAAATCAACCTTATAATCAATTAACTTATTGTTAAAATATGTGATTATTTATATTTGAACAATAATTAGGTGAACCTTAATTAAAATTCACTATAAAATTTATAAATAAAAATTCTAAATACAAAAGTAAATTATACTTTAATTATAACTGCTATTTGTATAATATATTTCTACTTTAACATTGGAATATTTTCTAAAACTACCATCAAACGTTCAAAAACACAAAGACTTCTCACATAATAAAACTTTAACCTTAGACTACACATTAAAAGATAAAAACACTTGACTCCGCACTTAAAATAATATATAATAATTATATTTGACTTAGTAAAGAAATATGAATCACAAAATATCATGTAAAGATAATCTTGTTAAAAACCTTACTGTATCAGTTTCAAAATCATATTCTAATTCTATATTATAATATTTGATGTTATTTTTCATCAATATTAATTTTTAGTTAGTTTTATATAATTTTTTATATATTACAAACTCAAGATTCATGTGTCCAAAAGATATAAACACATATGTATGTGTGCAGGGAGATAAAAATAACTTTATTGATTACTCCATATTATTGCATTCACAAAAACTATCTATTACAAATAAGCACTCTAAATTAAATTTTAACTGGTGTAGTTTCTGTCTATCCTACTATTTTTATTTTTAAGGTTTTAATTCACACTTTTTTACAAGTAACTGTTTGTTGTTGTTCTTTCTTTTACATATTGAATGTCAATTTTTTCATGATGTTAAACTAAACATCGCTTTGTATCAAATTAGTAATGCTGAGAAACTTTGAATGTAAAAAAACATAGTATTTTGAAATGTACAATCTATAAATTAATTTTACTTTATTAATTTAATATATTCTTATATTATTATAAATTTAAATATATAGTTTAGAGAGTGAAAGTCTCACCCACCTCATCTTCTCAATTTAGAGATTCTGAATAGAATCTTATCTGTATTCAGAATGTACATTTCACACTTATTGTCTAAACCTACTAAACAAAATTCTCTTATTGACCTTTAATTGTTATCTATATAACTCATTTTCTTATTCAAGTCCGTAATATTTATTATGAAACATGATTATAACAGAATTTATATTATAAATATTTGTATATTACAAAATTTAATCTTGTAAAAATAAATTATTTTGTGTAATATTACACAAATCAAGACAATTTTTGTATTTATAACTAAGTAAAAGTTAACTTGTGAACACTCTTATTATTTGATTTATTACCAAGTTGGTTGCATCAATTTTTTTAAAATATAAAATTATGAGGATGAGATTAAAGAGGAGGACAAAACACAATGAAGACAAGAAAAAGTGTAAATTAGATTATGGAACTCATCTTACAGCGGAATTTAGGATATCTTTGTTCTCTATTTTTATTTTTAAGAAAATAAAAACAAAAGTGATAAAAAAAAATATTTTAAAACCAATATCTCTTTCTTAATTTTAAAATAAAATTATGACAACTGTACATTGTCTGTGCTGTTTCATTCTTTCTCTCTTATTCCTAACTCTCTAAAAATTAATTTTTAAAAATCATTTTAATTGATCAAATTTAAAAATTAGAAAACCAAAACACAGATAGCATACATCCTTAATTTAACAGTACATATTTTGAACTTAATTTTCACATAGTTTTAGAGATTAATGTATTTGGTTACCGTACAAGAAAAAGCAAATAAACTAATATAAATATTATTTACACATTGCAAACTTCAAGCATCAACATTCGACCAAAGCAGGTTAAATGTGTTTTTAATATGGAAAGACTACATTGGAAATAGAAATTAAAAAAGTGGTAGTATACAGTGGTACTTTAATAAATATAATCATGTTTTCGGTACATGTAAAATGTTTCAAGTTTTCATTTTCATTTTGATTTTTCTAAATATAAATAATTATTTTGATAATATTATGTGATATTCATTATTTCAAATAAAAGGTTAATGATTATATTTTTATGACACTATTCATATGACTAGGATAATGTTAGCATGCGATATTTTTAATTTTGTATAAAATCTATTGATTTATTTTAAAATTAATAATATGAATATAAATATTGATTTAAAATTTTGGAAGAATCAAGATACTTCTTTATAGAGACTAAAATAATGAGTTTAATTTTAAGGTTATAAAAAACATTTTTTATAAAAACCAAAATCATAACTTTTGCCCATTTCATTTTGACTAATTATATTCAGATCTTCTATAATTTTATATAGTTATATAATTTTAATTTTTACGTTAATGAATTACATTCAGATATATTTTTTAATCTGCTCTCCATCCAAAGCACAAGTAAAAGTAACATGATTTTATATTAGTTCTGTTGGGGGCGTGAACATATTCTTCCTTAATATGGAATCATAGTATGTGATGTGGGGCATTCTATCTCGTGGTCTTATTTTAAAGTCGAACCAGATATCCGTACACACTTAAGTACACCACCTTCTCTCACCACTGCTTCTCTTCTCCCCTTACTTTGCAATAAACACATATTTATTTTGTCTATAGTCTTTACTTCCGTCTTTATATTATTTTCACATTTATTCTAAACAGTTTTAAGAAAAATTAATTTTTATAATAATTTTACATTTTTTTTAATAAAAGTAGAAAAATATGATAGGAAAATTATAGAAATAAGAAATTTTAAAAAATACGAGAATAAGCAAGTTGTACAATTTTTACACTATTTTAAATAAAAAATAGTATATCATTCACACAACTTTTTTTTTATTCAATCAATTTGGAATTTGTCAAGCATCTCAACCATTTCTATTACCAATTATAAGTTCAGGTGAAACAAATATGGTATCTAAATTGTTCTCATAGAACTCGAAAAGAAACATGTAAATAACTCAGTGAAGTATGTGAAGAATTTAAAAGAGTATGTGATTAACTCAATAAAATTATTTTATGGAAATTGGAAGTTGTTTTGTCCTTAAACAACTTTATATTGAAATTAAAAGTTATCAGCCTCCAACTACTTCTACCGAACTCTTCACATATTTCATTGAGCTCTCCACATATTTCACAAAGCTTTCCATGTTCTTTTTGGAACTCCATGAGAGTGCTGACGACTTATAATTTGAATAGAAAGTTGTCTAGAGATAAAACAAGTTCTGATTTCCATAAAATAACTCCACCAAGCTAATCACATACTTCATCAAACTCTTCGTTTTACTGAACTCTCTACCTGCTCCACTGAACTTTTCATATGTTGATTTTTTCATGTCCCTTTTTGAATTCTATGAGATAAGACTTCCAAATTGACAATGTGTTAATGGACACACAAAATAAAAATGAGGTGAGAGATGTAAGACTTTTTTTATTTAAAATCATGGTGCAGATCTCCCAACTTGATTGTTATCGTGATTTTTTAAAAATTTTGTACATTTGTATAAATTTCTTATAAATTTTTTCTATTTTTATAAAAAAAACAATTTTACACACTTAATTGTAAAACTTTTTTTTTTTACTTTATGAGCAAGGAAATAAACCTTTTTTTAGTTACCTTTATGAATGATTCTTTTTTTTTATGTTGGATACAATATGAAGTACATATATTTATCTGTTTTTGTCCAGCTACAAAAATCTAAAAGCGAAGGATTTTTTTTTGGATAATGATATTTTGACAATATTTTTTTGACAACATTTTAACATTATTTACGTGTCATTCTGTGATTGGTCCAAAATTACTCCACAATCAATAATAATAATTGTACCAACAGGGACCTGACGTCGTACGGAAGGACATCCGCGTCCTCGTACCGGCCGCCCACATCACCATACGGGACCCAGAAAACTACCCTTTTTACTTACTGATTGGGAAGGGTTACGTGTTGACGGGCGGACGCCCATGTGCCCGTAATTACTCACTGTGGTGAAAGGTTATGTATGGCAGGGTGGACACCCGTCCACCCATAATCAAGACTCACCCGAAGCCTTCAGGACCGGCCGGCCTTGAGGATAAGACCCGAGGGCGGCCGGTCGCGTTACTAACCATCTGAGTTTAAGGTAAGTAGGGTTTAAAAGCTATTGGGCTGAATTGGGTCGTGATTAACTTTTCACTAATCCTAAGCCCATAGCGAAAATTATAAATACATATCCAGGGTGAGTGGTAGATATGCATTTTATTATTGTCTGAGAAAAACGCCATAGCTCTCAACTGACTTTGGCATCGGAGAATCTTTTGCAGGTCTCCCACCAACAGACTGAAGAGTGAACCACACATACGGAACAATAATCATAAACACTAACATGGACCAATCATAGAATGACACGTAGATGATGTTAAAATGTTGTCAAAAAAATGTTGTTAAATAATCATTATTTTTTTTTTCACAGGGAGAGAGAGAAACAGAAAGAGGTATCCGTGACATCAAACTTCCTAGATTCCATTGAAAAAAACTAAATTCTCTCACAGGGCATACAGTATAGAACCTCTGCGAGGAAAATCTGATGAACAGCAAACCCTTTATACAATTTTCACCCGTAGAAATTCTTCATGGGGACAAAAGTTAGAGTCTCATGATGAACATCTAAAAGCCCAAATGGGGCTAGCTGTTAAAAAGCAGAAGAAAAAAAGAATGGGACAAAAAGGTGAGAAACACAACGCATAGACGGTGAAGAGAGATGGATGGGTGTTAAAAAAGAGAAGCAAGAGAAGCTTCTTCTCGACCACCTTCGATCTTTCTTCATGAAGCAATGGATCATCGTAGCGTGGATGTTAGAGAGCGGAAAACAACTTCTTGGCAGGGTATAGTGAGTCCCATATCGTGATCGAAGCCAAACTCTTCCTCAGCTTGTCGAAGGAGAGACTGAAACTGAGGATGAGTCAAAAAGGAGATGGGAACAATGTATCTACTTCTGTTTTCTCCGACGTAGACAGCGAAGTGGCCTTTGGGGACATCGAGAGGAAGGGCATAATCGTCATGGTCGTAGTCGTTCTTCTTTCCCAAGCTGGAACATCTTTTGAGGATTTGCTTGAGGACTGTGGTTTGAGAAGTCTTGTTTGATTTTCTGATGGCCATGTTTTGAGGGAGAGAGAGAAAATGAGAGAGAGAATTGGAAGTTGATGATTACTGAAGAAGGTGAAGAGGTGTATTTATGAAGAGAAAGAGAGGGTAGTTATTCATGTGGAGGGTGGGGGCGAAGGGTAGGACACGGGTGTTTTGGGGTATGTGTATTTCTGTAAGGACATTGTGGGAACCAAATCACTGTCCTTCACTGTTCTATGTTGGTCCTCCCAATGCCAACGTTGACATGGACCCTATCTGTACCTCCATTACTTTATAACCCCCACACACATTTTCTTAAAATTACTTTTTTATCTCACTTTCATCTCCTACATCATTTCATCTGTTACACTTTTAAATACGTTTTTTTTTAATTCATGCCACATAATTTATAATGGGCTATAAAGTTATATACTTTTTAAAAATTTAAATTTAAGAAAATAATAAATTATCTTAACAAGTTAAATTTAAATCTAACTCAATATGATAAAGTTAAGATCTAAATCCGATAAAACTAAGATGTAAAATGAGATTTGTATTTATTTATATATTCTAAATTGACCTTATTTCTAATGAGAATAAATATTAATGAGTGATTCGATAGCGAATGGAACAATATGTCTAACAAACAACAAATATCTTTAAAATAACTATACCCTATGCCTAATAAACAACAAATATTAAGATAATAAGACTTTACTCGACTTTACCTTATGTTAAAAAATAAACTTTAATTTAATTTAATCTAACTCACAAAAATTAACTTGTAAAATACGTATACTTATATTATATATTATAAATTTGTCTTATTTATAATTTATGTGAAACTTTCAAAACACTAAAAAAAAATAAAAAGTTAAGATAAATATCGAAAAACATTTTTCTTATTTTTTCTTTCTTAAAAATGTATATATTCAGGAGAACGGGAAGTAGTGTTACTTTTAAGAATACGTAATGTCCGTACTTGTTAACTTATATTTGATTATTATTGTATATAAAATAAGCTTGCTGGAGGAGTAACAGTGAAATATATCTTAAAGAAATAGAGAACGTCATTAGCTTATATAAAATATGATTGATGATTAATAAATATACACACTATGAAAAAAGAAAATAATATATACGTATTTATGTGGCTTATATCGCACACCTAACCCCACCGACCCATACCTCTTTGGGTATTTATATACGATCAGTGGCTATTCTTTAATCACAACAGGCATATAAATTTTATTTTATTTGTACGCATCTATCCCTACAAGCACGAAAAAATCAAGACATGCCACCATCATACGTTGAGTAATATTGTATTATATACATAAATTTTCCTAACAAATTATACCAAGGAAAGAGGTGATGAAGACAAACACGCAATTAAAATATAATGTAGCAGAGACAAATGGAAAAAATAAATAAAGAAACTAGGTGATGTATAAATTATTTATTTTTTAAAAGATCATATATAATGTGACAAACTATTATGTATAATATAATAATTTTTTGGTTTAAGCGTATAAAAATGTGAACACAGTGGTTAGTATCACCTGATGACGGACCTACAAGTACTCTCCGGTACAACCTGGTGATGGTATTGATTTGGATTTTGTGATTGTTGGTTTTGTTTTGTGATACCTCGACCTCATGAATGACACGTGAAATCAACTTCAATCCGACATTACACTCAATGCCAACAAAACAAACTTTGCAGAAACCCATGTGTGTTCCTAAATTCTCCTACTTTCTACGTTTTCAACTCAGTACTATACTAAATACATCGTTACTTATCCTCCAATCGAATACTAATCACCTTGTTCACCTTTTGCATTCCCATCTTATTGCATTCATGAATGCAGCTGGCTTCCCACTTGTTTTTCCTGAAAAAAATTATTCATGTCCCACTTTCATGAACATGTCTTATCGTGTAGAACTCGACATGTTCAGTGTCATACCAACAATTAATCTTCATGCACATACGCACATACGGATAAACCTCAGCGGTAAAATAGACTTAAAATCTACTTTTTAATATAGTATTATAGTCAAGTTAGAACATATTATAGCGATATTTGTTATTTGTTGAACATATTGTTTTATCTGTTATCGGGTCACTATCAGACCATCTATTAATATACAGTCTCATGCTCAAAATGTATATTAAGTGAGAGAGTGTATTGAAAGTCACAAATCGACCAGAAATAAGATTAACTTAAAATATATAAATGGGTGCAAACTTTACTTTACAAGTATATGTGAAATTAAATTAAGTTTAAAGTTCACTTCTTAATAGATGTGTCAGGAACGTCTAGAACTCAACATGTTCAGTGTCATATCAACCGATAATCTTCGTGAACGTACGGATAAACCTCAGCCGTAATAGACCGTGACAGCTGAAGATCAACACATACACACACGATGTTGTTTTATTAATTTTTCTGTCAAAATTTAACTTCAGTTATTGAGCAGAAACGAAAAGCAAACCTGATAAAGCTATAACTAATTGAGTTTTGATCTTCGGAGAAAAGGCCTCGCCACCTTTCAGTTGCACGAATAATTGGATAAGAATTTGACTATATATTTGGATGGTAATTGCACATGTCTATATTGTGATTATTTAAATGTTTGATGAAGAGAAAACAAGCTAAGCTGTCATGTAAGTTTCGAATATGAACATGGATTTTGAGAGGTCATGCTCAACGTGGTTGGTTCTTTTCTTCGGAAGACATTCATATTAATTGCTCGAGTGGAGAACAAAAAGGGATAAGATCAAAGTATATATAACAAAAGTGGTAATTAAAGCTATTTCTTGCTTGTCAATTTTTCAACCTACATATCACTACTTCAATGTTTGCTACTACAATTATAAGTGTCTCAATACCGCAAGCTTCCCCATGTGGTCCTGCCTAAACATCCAACACTATATACAAAAATTGTTACCAGACACAAATCTATATCAGATGCATACCATATTATAGTGTTCTAACCCTGCCTTCGTTCTTCCTACTTTTTACCACGTTTCCTACGTTGAAAAAGTGATATTCGAAAGCTGAGGAACTCCTATACGGCAGTGTCCTGAATTTTCTGTCATCTGTCCTCCAGCCTTGTTTTTCACAGTGCCAAACAATCATAATATTGTTAAGATGACAAAAACACTTTACTGGACAAATTCCAACACCTTTACATTTTGCTTGTCCAAAAAATCGAAACTACTACAGAATATATCCAACTTAAAATATCTGTATTGCATAAATTATTTGTTCACATTTTCACACAGATAAAAGAAGATTATGTTGGAAATCCAAATAAGTCCAATCCAAGTCTCATATGGTATAGAAATAAAAAAAGTAAAACATTATATAAAGATAAAAAATTCATTAATCAATTGTCTTAAAATTTTAAGTATAGAAAATAATATTAATCCTTTACATGAGCTCATATCTCATTGATATTATATTTTTTGGATAAACTTCATCCTCGATAACCTAACAAATTATACTGAGATTTTAAGGAATGCATGCGAGTTCATTCAACGAGAAAAAAAGTTTTTTTTTCTTGTTTTAATGAAAAACTATAGTTTAGTGGATGATTAGTGAATGAGATTAATAAGAGAAAAATGGGAAACATTGAAAAGCTCATAAATTTTAACCAAAATGTGCTAAGGAGATAAATTTAGCATAAGGGATATTGTTTTTAAGTTGATAGGGACTTTGCCTTTCATCTGGCACGTGAAAGCCATGTTACTCTTGCCCCTAAAGTTCTATTGTCAAAACAATATACTGAGGTAATTGTATCCGATTTTTTATATATGAAGATCACATGTTAAAAATAAAAAGTTAGAAATTTAAACTTTTTTAAGTTATGAAGATTAATCCATTACGATACTATTTGGAAAGGTTATGACTATAAAGTCGTAAAGTTATAAGTAAAATGTTAATTTCTCTTCTAGAATATCAATTATTTCTTACGGATTTTTCTGCTAAATTTATCTTTCAAGAAATAATTTTACCAAATAATTATGTGCAAGCCCAGGGAAGCTTCTGCAAAATTGTACCATGTACATTTTCTCGCTTGATGTACCAAAAATAACTAATTGTGCCTTTGGTTTCTTGCCACTTATTGCTTAATTATTATTGGTTGACCAAATTTTTTAAGATTTATTTAAGTTTAAAATCTTTCATAAATTTGAGTGAACTGTTATTAAATTTATTTATTTTTATTGAGTATTCAACACTTTAATATTTCCAACTCACCTTACAAGAAAATTATTACAATGAACACAACTCGTCAAATAATTGTTAGTAATTTCGATTTTACTGATAAATTACCGATGACTCATAATTTATTGATAAAATAATTATAAATAAATTTTAGTGATGAATTTTTTGATCCGTTAATAGTTATAGATTCATTAATACATATTTATTATCAATTACGAAAATCTTGTAGTGTGCGTTTCTAAAATTAAACTTTTTTTTTTTATTTGAGTGATCTGATTATTATATTGTCTTTGAAGATACGTGAAGTTTCTAAAATTAAACGATATTATAGTAATTCGATTTTATCGATAGGTTACTAACTATTAAAAATTTGTTGATAAAGTGATTATTAATAAATTTTATCATCCGTCAATAATTATAGATTCATTGATACATATTTGTTATTAATTACGAAAATCTTGTAGTATGAGTTTCTAAAATTAAACTTTTTTATTATTTGACTGATCTGATTATTATATTGTCCTTTGAAGATATGTGAAGTTTTGTAATGAATATAAACGATATTATAGTAATGTAAAATGACAAATATCTTTTATTAGTTTAATTGAAGCCATAATAGATAATGTTACATACATCAATGGTGGTGAGGACTAATTCTTTAATTTCAGTAGGTGATGACATGAAAGTCATTGAAAAACATGACAATAATGTTATGTACTGATAATGACAATTGTTTCTTTATTGTAAGTGCTAAAATAAAACTTATTGAAAAACATAACAATTTTGATATTTAATATATTTTTATTTAAAATAATAAAACTACCTGTTATTTGCATTAATTACAATATTTTTTTTATAATACAAAATTTTAAATCTTTTAACACGAAAAAAAATAAT